ATGGAGGAGAAGGGATTGCGGCATGGCCATCCCCCCGGGGGGTGATTTCTCGCTTTTTGTCTCTCTGTCTCTCTCTGTCTGGCGAGTGCACGTCCCCTATAGCAAAAAAAAAAAAAAAACCTCCCCCCCAAAAAAAATACAGGGCTGGAGTAGATAATCTCTAACATTGCTTTGAGGACTGAAATGATACAAGTCTTAAATATCTAATATCCTGGGGCTGGTAGGTGGTATGGTGGTTGAGGGCACTGGATTCCTACATGGCTGACCACAGTTCAAGTCCTGGACTTGGCAGCTTGCTTTCTCACTTTCTGTCCCTCTCTCTCTCTGGTCAAAGTACGGTAATAATAATAATTATTAATAAAATTAAATAATTATTTAAAAATATCTAATATCTTTTGATGAAAGTTCTGAAATAACTACATTTTTCTGGTGAGGAAGTGTAATTTATGGAAACGAGGGAGTTTCAGATTTACTTACAGAGGGACATGAAGAAGCAAGGACAGTGGTGTGGGGGCAGTGGGGCCACTGGATGAAAAACTTAGGGCTTAAGGAACCAGAGCTCGTCAGGAGTGGAGTGGCCCGACAACGAGCCTGCGTTTCTGACAGTGGACATTTCTCTGATTTTATTTTATTATTTTATTTTTTTATTTTTTTATTTTTGAGAGATTTTCACTGTAGGGCGCATGTGCTCGCCAGACAGACAGAGAGAGACATAGAGACAGAAAGCGAGAAATCACCCCCCAGGGGGGATGGTCACGCCGCAATCCCTTCTCCTCCATTCTCCTCTCGGGATCTTGGGCACACACGCACACGCGCCCGGCGTGAGTTTTAAGCCACCGGGTCCGGGACACGAACTGCGGTCGACTCCGTGGGAGTCCAGCGACATAGCCATTACGCTAACTGCTGGTTCCCTCTGATTTTATTCTTGAATGGAGTCAGCTGTGGTGCTAGAGGAAAAGCATGAGCTATGATATCGGGACACCTGGCTGTTCCAGCTCGTTAGCTAAAAAATCATTCACCTTTGCCATTTCTTGCTGAGCCTGTTTCCCTAACATTTCTTTGAAATACCCTACAGTTCTTTCTTTCCTTTATTTTTTAAAAAATAACCCTTTTATTTAACTTTATTTATATATTTAATTTGACCAGAGAGGGAGGGAGGGGGTGGAGGAAAGTGAGAAAGCAAGGTCAGGTTCAGGACTTGAACCGTAGTCGGCACCTGCCGGCCCCTCTTTCCTTTATTTAATTTTGCCAAAGGGTGTGCACACTTGCCAGAGAGAGAATGAGGGAGAGGAAAGTGAGAAAGAACTCACCATGAGGAATGGTCACTGCGATCCCTTCTTTTCTCTCTCCTTTTGGGATTTTGGGCACCCACTTATATAAACCTGGTATCTTTCTGAAGCTGCCAGGTCTGGGACTCGAGTGGCCATGTGGAATCCAGCTGCCTTAACCACCATACCACAAAATGGCCCAGTCCACTTACCTAAACGGAAGCTCAAGTTCTTCATTCCAGCTGGGGTTTGGTCCTTCAGCTGTAGTTGTGCGGCAAATCGTTCGTTGAAAAGAGACTTCTACAAAAGGACGTACTGAAACCTTAAAATCAAGAGCCCACTGCGGTTAACTGAATATTGTGTTCTTAGCAGAGGCAGAATATGTTTATGAAATAGCATGTTTCAAAAGAAAATGAAGCAGAAAGCCAACTTTCTCTCCATGAAAGTTATCATCAATTCTTGCAAGATCCAAGTTGAAATTCAGCTTCTGGAACTCACCTGACCGAGAGGGTAGTCAGCACTGTGCGTTGGGCTGTGTGTGCTTGGGGAGGCAGGATGCTTTTCTCTGAAAGTCCTTGAAGACCTTGATGGCTTCTGGAATTTGCTAGAAGGAAAAACATATGAAAGAAATAAATGACAAGAGAAGTCTAACTATATATTGAGAAGGTGGCTTCTTCGAAGAGGTAAGGCCCTGGAAGCTGTAGTGATGGGCATTCCTTCCACGCTTGCTGACATTTCTGAAGACTTTTCATATGCTCAAGTCCTCACCATCCATGCAGTGATTATCAGAGCCTCCCTAATTTTCATTCCCAAGCTTGAATATCTGCCTGAGAATTGAGGAAAAAAGTCTGTTTTTCCCTTGCTCCAAGAGGATGCCTTAGTGGGGACCCTCCTCCCACATAAATGGAACCTCAGTCTCTCTGACTAGAAGACCTGAGCCTCTGCCCCTGCCCCATCTCTGTCTAGGCCCTGTTCTCTCCCACTGTTTTTTCTTTGACCTCAGGTTTATATCCCAGATGAGACATTTCTCTTTGGGCCTGTCAAATCTCACTGGGAAAGGGAGGCTGAGGGGTTCTGAGTCAAGTTAGGATCAGTGGGTCTTATTGTCTTCCTCCTGAGCTGCCATTCCTAAAGGGGCATCTCCACAGTCTCTTCTGACAGCCATCTTCCCCTCCTAACAACCCCTTGCATATTTCTACTGAACTTTATGATTTGCCTAGTATTTTGAATTCATTGTTAGGCAAAATACAAATTGTTTTATTCTACTGGGCTGTCACTTTTTCATAGCTAGTGTGTCAGACAAACTATGAGACAAGAGAAGTAGAACATTCAATGCAGCAGCTATGAGAGAAGACCTTTTATCTTTGGGAAACCATTAGTTACATGATTAACATTCGTTTAGTCCCTGCTATGTTTTAGTCCCTTCAGGTCAGAATGCCCAAGGTGGCAGACGCGTAAACAGATCTCAGTAAGACGAGGCGGACGTTATTTAGACGACAGACTGGCCTGGGGAGCAGGAGCATAGACAGGGAGGGCGGAACATCCTGTTTGGCTCAATGCGAGGGAGCAGGGTGAAGACTGGGCAGGATCACTGGACAAGCGGATGTCGGAGCTGTCTCGCTGTGTCTACAGTGATGTGTAGCACACAGGATCAACTGTGCTTCCTCGAATTAGCTCAATCTATTGAAAATATTCTGCAGAGTCCAAAAATAAAAGAAACACGTAGCTATTTAAAAAACAGCTTTCCACCCCACAGTAGAGCTTTGCAGCAATTCAGAGTGAAAGGTTTGGGCGATGGGCTCAAAAAAGCAAATGCTATGGCAAGATTCAAGGGCTTAAATGGACATTCACACACAGCGAAGGACTGGGAATAGTTGATGATCAGATATCTTGTAATAGGCCAAAGAATTAATCAACAAAGAAAAGTAGGGCAAAACACTGAGGTGAGAGAGGGGAGGGAGGAAGAAATAATGGGAAGGACCCAGGCGGAAAGGTGGCGCAGGCTTCCGGAGTGCTCTCCTATGCAGTCAGGCAGTGCTGAAAGGCCTTGGGCACGTCCTTGACACTCTTCACTCCCATCTTCCCTTTTATAAAATAGAAATAGTAGTAAGTGCGTGGCATGATGCAGGGAGGCCATGTGAGGAAAACAGACGGGAAGGCAGGAGAGGAGAAGGCTGAAAAGCCACAGTGAGCTGGAGCTGCCGGAGTGATGGAGGGGAATGTTCCAGTCGCAGCTGAGAAGCGACCGGCTGAAGAAGCCACAGACCTCCCAACAAAGCCTACAGAGATCTCGCTTAGATTTGCCAAAGGTAATCAGACGGCAAGGAAAGCGTCAGCCACATTCATTACACTTGGATCAAGTAAGTCCAAAGAAACTTCCAACTCTTGCTCCAAAACCCTTTCAGTAGCACTGGCTTTTAATGAGGATGAAGAAGACAAGAAGGGACACACCAGCGTCCGCCAGACCAAGCTCCTTCAATAGAGGGAAAGCACAGGTTTTCTGATAACCAGAGCTATGGGAGCGAAATATAAAATCTCATCGTGCAAATGTCCATGACCAAGACAACTAAATAATGTGCTTTGAAACTGGGACATGGGGTGGGTGTAAAGTTAAAAGGAACAGTTTCCTTTTTTAAACAATGGCATCAGACTAGCTTTCGAGCCACTTTTTCTTTTCCTTTTTTAATTTTCTTTTCGAGTAGTACACTAGTAAATGAGAGTTTGAAATCAGAAGTAATTTATGTCCTATATGCAGATTTCAAGACATTACTAATTTTGTAGTTTCATGTTAGTTTCCAGAGGTTACAGATAATAAATCAGAAATGGTACCGTTTTAAGAATCGCATATTTTGGGGACCAGCAGATGGCATGAAGGTTACACTGCTAGACTCTCATGTAGACAGTCATGATTCGAGCCCCACACCCAGCGTCCTAAACTCATGCCCAGGTGACATGATGGTTAAAGGCCATCGTGGATTCCAAAATCGCTGACCACTTTGCAGCAGGTGGCATAGTTGTTAAGGTGCTGATCTCCCAGGTGATCTACCATGGCTTGAGCCCAGAATTTCATGGCTTGAAACTCATGTGGGGTGCATGTGTATGCTTGCCCAAAATCCTGAGAGGAAAATGGAAGAGAAGGTATTGTGGAGTGACCATCCCCCTGGGGGGGTGATTTCTCACTTTCTGTCTCTCTGTCTCTGTCTCTCCAGTAGTTGAATGTGCCTTAGAGCAAAAATCTCTCAAAGAAAAAAAAAGAATTGCATATTTTCTTAGACACAACTCTTAGCATATTAAGAAGGAAGAAAATAGTTATTGTCTATTTCAAACTGGAGGCAGTAACTCACTCTTAACACCCTCATTACCTAAACTGTCTGGCTCCCAGGAACAGCCTTATATAGAGAGGGAGTATTGTATTGGGAGGAATATGTTACTGGACTATTGATGGAAAGTAAATTTAGATAAAATATAGCTTTCTTTTCCCCCTGTGGGCATTTGTCTTGTTCCTAGTCATCATAAACTAGGTATTGCATTGCTATCAGTGGATATAGAAGCTTAGCTCTTTTGAAAAAAATTTAATAAAATTTTTATGTAAACTGAATATTTAAAATAGCCTACTTCACCTTAATATGTCTTGTTTACCTTCATTAGTCTTCAGAGAACAACCATTTGCTACCAAAGTAACTCAGGATTTGAATGTGCTACTCTTGATTTGGTTTATTAGCTGTTCCTTAAGCATTTCCACCAAATTTTCTTTTTTTTTTTTTTAGAGGTTTTTGCTTTAGGGCTTGTGCGCTCGCCAGACAGACAGGGAGAGGCAGAGAGAAAGAAAGCGAGGAATCACACACACACACACACACACACCCGGGGGGTTTGGCCACACCGCAATCCCTTCTCCTCCATTCTCCTCTCAGGATCTTGGGCACGCATGCACATGTGCCCGGCATGAGTTTAAGCCACTGGGTCCAGGACACAAACCGCGGTCGACTATGTGGGAGTCCAGTGACAAAGCCATTATGCTAACTGCTGGTCCTTCCACCAGAATTTGAGGTAAATCATAAGGAAGCCATTTCTTTTAAAATAAAAACCACCACCAAAAACTTCCATGTATATATACATTGTTTAGGCATTTGGCTGTTTTTGTTTTTTAAAAGGTATAAACACCAAAAAGAAAATTTAACATTGTATGAAGATGGAAACAAGATGTAATGTCTGTAACTTTGTATAAGTATTTTAAGTTACTAACTTGTGACATCCAGTTTGAACTGAATTTACTACAGGATTTATTAATACACTTACATGGCTTATTTTATATATAAAATAAGTCTCTGAAGACTAATGAAGGTAAACAAGACCTATTAAGGTGAAGTAGGCTATTTTAAATATTCAGTTTACATAAAAATTTTATTAAATTTTTTTCAAAAGAGCTAAGCTTCTATATCCACTGATAGCAATGCAATACCTAGTTTATGATGACTAGGAACAAGACAAATGCCCACAGGGGGAAAAGAAAGCTATATTTTATCTAAATTTACTTTCCGTCAATAGTCCAGTAACATATTCCTCCCAATACAATACTCCCTCTCTCTATATATATATATGAGATGAATTTCTTTACTAAAATACCAATAAATGCGTCAAACTAAAAACGATTAGTAATAAAGGGTTGACTGAAAGAATACATCCCAATGGGCCTAGTGTGGTGCTCGGAACATGGTGAATGTACAATAAATGCTACTTTCTCCCCCTACTCTGGTAAGGGCTCCACAAAAAGAAGTATCAATTTTTGGGACCAGCAGTTAGCGTAATGGCTATGTCGCTGGACTCCCACGTAGTCCACCGCAGGTCAAGTGCTGGACC